ATCCGAATATCCACTGTAGAAACGGGGTATTCAAATTTCGAAGTTCAATATCATTGTACAAATTTAGAAATTGACATTCTTAACATTTTCTATTAAAAATGTTGAACATTTGATGGTTTGTATCACAGGGGTGAATATTCTCGAAACTTGAGTAACAAAATGGGATTTTAAAGTGTTATAACTTGTGTTATTTTCCCTGCATACATTTTTAATTTTTAATCAAAAATCCTTTCCAGTTTTTCAAATTATATACTCCTGCAATATATACCCCTGTTCAGATATGGAGGATACCAGTTTGGATATTGGGCTGACCAGCTCGGAGATGGTCGAGCTCATCTACTCGGAGAATATATTAATAGGAAAGGGGAGAGATGGGAACTACAGCTTAAGGAATATATTTTTGTTGTAAAACTAATTATCTATAAAGGGAAACTACATTTATAGAGTGGGATTTCCGTATACAGCGGTACACTCATTAAACCTTAGGAGTAAAAAATGATGGAATTTGTCAGAATTTAACACTTCTATTTACAAAAATAGGCGACATCTACCTAATGTTTACTCAGATAAAAAATAAAGTGAATCGGACATACCCCTCCATTAATTAATGTACATTTTAAATTGCGTCTATAGTCCATAAATGATTTTTTTAGTGTTCTCTACAAAATTAATAGTTTTTTTTTTGTGAAATGAGTTTAACACATTTTTAAGATACTAAGAATTAACAAATATTTTTGATTGACAGGGTAGCGGGAAGACTCCATATTCTAGGTTTGGAGATGGTAGAGCCGTATTAAGGTACATAAATAATGTACCAAAACGTGTTTTTTTATCTGCGAAACTCTCGCGTAAAATATTCATATGTAAAATCATATCAAGGTACCGGAGATTTTTTTTAATACTATTTTAACTTAAAGATGTATACAGGATAATGGGACAGTTAAATCTTATCTTTAAATCTTAAAAATCGATATAAACCAAGCCTTCCCCCCCCCCCTCTGAACAAGTCCCAAACACTTCCATAAGATAAAAATTATAAAAAATATTCAGATATATTTGGTGTAGGTCGTCTGTGCGTGAATTCTTGTGTTCTGAAGCCATGCATCATCTGGGTATTCCCACATCTAGGTCAATCAAATCAGTTTAAACATTTTAACATTAAAAACCACTTTTGAATACCGAATTGTTGAAGAAATTCAGTTTTCAAAAACAAAAATTAGTTATTTTATTATGATTTATAATGGTTTTTGAGCTGGTTATCAGTCGGACCCGAAATGAAATCATTGTGCGTTAGTTATCTAAGCACTGATGTACCATGATTTATGCTCGCGCGGATGGCAACAATGTCACCGGTAGCCCCTCGAGCTATGCACATTGCACATGACTGAAACCCCAGCAAAAATGTAGTTTATGTTAAGCAATTGTTAACTTATTTTTTCTGCCTTTCCAATTTATTTTAAATTCCAATTTTTCAAAAAAAAACAATGTTTCAAATTTAACATTTCTGTAGAGCGGCCACGTTGATAGTAACAGATGATCCAATACCCCGGGATATGTTCTACGACGGTCGGCTAAAGAACGAGAGAGGAGCTGTAGTGCTCAGGGTTGCACCAACATGGTTCAGGTAAAATATGGACCATTCCAACAGAGGAATGTATTTGCTTAAAAGATCGCTCTCTCCACCCCCTTCTTAACAATGATGATGTCCTCAAAATGCGTTTTCTAAAAGTTTTGTTTTATCAACTAATAATTTATTTTCCTTCAAAGGTGAGAGAGTGGGTGTTTGTATATATTTATTGGATAATTTTTAAAGAAGAAGTAATTAAAAGCTTGCCGACATATGTATGAACTTTTGTTTCAAGTTAGCATTTTTATGGCGGGGGGGGGGGGGGGTGTTATCAAAGAAAAATACTTAGAAATTTCCATATAAAGACATTACTTATCCTTCCAAACTCTCTACAAGAAAATTACTCTTTCAGATTTGGCAGTTTTGAGATACTGGCTAAAAACCACGAGTTTACTGAGCTGAAAAAACTTGCAGATTTTATTCTGGAAAATTCCTTTAAGCACATACAAGAGAAAGGGACGTACAATCAACATTCCACCTTTATTTTTTCCCGTTTCTTTCTTCAAGAAACATTAAACTCAAATTTTTGTATTTTTAAATTTTTCAGAAACAAGTCAATATTACCGGTTAAAAAAGTTCAAAAGTTCTAAAATGTTTCTAAATGAAAAAAAATCAAAAAAAATCTGATATTTACCTTATTTTGAGTAATTTTTTACATTCAATTATTTTTTTTTGGCTCAAATATAAAAAACCTGAATGTACGCCTGGGTTCAGGAGAAGACGGATATATCGCAATGTTCTCCGAGGTGTGTGAGAAAACTGCGGCCATGATCGCTGGCTGGTCGACTGTAGGGTTCGCCCATGGGGTCATGAACACTGACAATATGAGCATAGGTGAGAACACGGAGAACAATAATATTTAATGAAAATCTAATCATAAAATTGTAGCATTTTGGGTTCGTTCATATTGCTGTTTAATTACTATCAAACTCATTTAATTATCAATTTACAGAGTACTTATTTATCAACCACCCGTTTCAAGATTTAGCCATCAGCATAGTATAGTGTGTTCAAATATAAAGTTTATAACATTATTACAATGCGTGCAATTTTACATTACAATCTAGTCTTATTCAACAATTTATGATGCTTTCGTGATTAACAAAGAAAATTAAAAATTCTTCCTTAAGGGACTTCAGACATGTTTTGAGTCAAACATTTAAAGAGAGACCTGAGCTGAAAACTTTAGAATGGTGGATATCGGGATTAAGGCTTAATCCACTCTTTTTCTTAATCTGCAGATTAAATATTGCTTGTTCTCCACTCATTTTTAATCTCCAGATTAATTATCCGATCAGGATTAAGGATATCCCATTCAAAAGTTCCCATCTCAGAGATGGGAACTTTTGAATGGAATCAAAACGTTAGCCTTTAAATCTCTATCAGAGCTGGGAACTTTAGAATGGATAACCTTTAATCCCAACTACTTAATCCGAATATCCACTGTAGAAACTCTTAATTTTAGTCCTTAATCCACTCTTTTTCTCTCTCTTTGGATATCCGTACATTTTTTTCTCCAATGAGAGTGCAGGAATATAGTTCGTAAATTGCATTGACCAATGACAGCCTTGAAAATAAATTCTATCCCATGAGAGAAATCCGCAATTTCTAACAAATCAAGAATTTGTTTGAGATTCTTTTGTAACCAATTTTAACTAATGTATCAATAAATAAATGGGTGAGAAATTAATTGAAGGCCCTTCCAGTCAGGAAAACCAACAAATCTGGCGTTCTTAGAATCCAATTTGTTGATCTAAATATTTAATCTAAGACTAACACAATCTGGAGATTATCTTAGTCTCGAGATTTTCAAAAACAGAGGATTAAGCATTAATCCTGATATCCACCATTCCCAGCTCTGAGCAACAATGAAGAAGATCGACTTTTATCTATAATTACGACGATTTAATTTATTGCTGATTGAGAAAAAGGTTTAAAGTTGTGAATCGGGAATGTCCCACTACAGGGTTACTTAAAATTACGTCTACAGTGGAAGGCGATTATATCGATGCAATCAAGACGACTTTCTACTTGAATTTTGATTGAAATCAAGCTTTTATTTAATTTTTTGTTATCTTTAAATTCGAAAAAAGCTTGTTAATAATCAAAACTCAAATAAAAAGACGTCTTCATTGTATTAATACAATCGCCTACCACCGTATGGCCCCCCAAAAACTTAAAATTAATTTTAGTTTCTGTTACAATCGACTACGGACCATTTGGATTCATTGATGAGTACAATCCCAGCTTTACACCTAACCATAGTGATGATATGGGTCGATATGATCTAGAAAACCAGGTGCAGTACCAGTCAAAGTTGTCACGCATATTGGATTTACATTTTAAGTGTGTTAGGGGGGGGGATGGTTCAAATATACGTTTTAAAAAATGCAATCTACCAGCTTGCCAAGTTCTAAAAATGGCAAAGCTACTAAATTTAATTTTTGAAAATTTTTAATGAGATTTAATGGAATATAAGTGTTTTACTAGCAGTCGCTAAATTTCCATGCAAGTTATTCTTGGCATATGATTTCAGCCTGTTTTTTTATTTTCCTTAAATCAGTTTTCAAAAATAAAAACTGATCTGCGTCTAAATATTTACTTAAAAATGGCCGATTATTATTATTATTATAATTTATGTACTCTAGGTTAATATTGGATTATGGAATCTGGATAAACTAGCGACAGCTCTTAAACATCTTCTGTCTGCAGATAAACATCCTCAGCTAGAAATTATACTTCAGGTGAGGACTAAGTATCTATATCTATTCTATATAATAAAACAAACATTCGTATATATTATATGTATATATGTTGCGTATAGCCGGCCCAATGGCTGGACTGATTGGGCTGAATTTTTTTGTGGACACTCATGGGTGGCCGGGGGGTGTTATAGGCTAAAAAAAATCGAAACTTTTAAATACTTTTTTTAAAACTTTTCTTTTAATTTTTTTTCCTGGGTAACGCCGGGTACTTCAGCTAGTAGCATTTAAATAATAAATTATCTTACACTTATCTTAATCAGAAAAAAAACAGAAGTATAGAAACCACCTGCTTTACAATGAACGACTGATACCGGATCCGTTGAATCTGTTTTTCAAGTGCGAAAATCCTTTTAAAATTAAAAACATTGTCGAATAGAATATAAAAATGGCGCGTTTTACAATTTTAACAAAAATTAAACACTAACCTAATATTTACCTTTTTATCAGGGATATGGGAAACATTTTCAGGAAACTCAGCTTACACTCTACAGGAAGAAACTAGGCCTACTAACGAAGGTGAGTTTTCTTAATAATATCATGTTCAGGAATGTTAATCCTTAGGAATACACTTAAGAAGTGAACTATGATATTAATAAACTTGAGCTCTCCCTAAGACATGGAAATTGGAAGTATTTAGGGGTGATCTCTTCTTAGCTTAAAGGATTATATATATATAGGAATCTTGATCACTTCTTAACGAATGATTTAGGTATCTTGATCAATGATCACTGCTCAAGGAATGATAATGTTTAGATTCTTGATCCCTCCCAAAGTAATGATAATATTTAGAAATCTAAATCCATCCCTAAGAAATAATCAAGGAGGGATAGTATTTTGGAAACTTAATCCCTTCCACAAGGAATGACACTATTAAAGAATCTTGAATCTTCCCTAAAGAATTATATTATTTATGAATTATAATTATTAAAAAGCTTGAATCCTCCCTAAGGAAAGATAATAATAAGAACTCTTGATCCCTTTCTGATAAATTAAAATTTTTAGAAAGCTTGAATTCTCCCTAAGGAAAGATAATTATTAGAATTCTTGGTCCCTTGCTTATGAATATATTTTTTTAGGAAGCTTGAATCTTCCCTATGGAAAGATAATATTTAGGGATCTTGATCCCTTCCTAAAAATGACGATACTTAGGAAAATGATCCCTTCCTAAAAAATGATGATATTTAGGAATCTTAATCCCTTCCCTTAGAAGGATATTGTTTATGAATCTTGATCCCTTTGTGAAACAGATTATTATTTAGGAATCTTAAAAATTACAATATTTAGGAAGACGAAGATGAATCGCTAATAAATCTTCTCCTTGATATAATGCAGAGAACACAAGCAGATTATACACAAACTTTCAGAGATATCAGGTATAGCAATTAGGGTTAGGTAGAGGCAAAATCAGGGGTGAAATCCAGGGTGGTATCCAGGGTGGAATCCAGGGTGAAATAAGCCTCGAGGGTGAAAAAAGGATGAAAAAAGTCTCAAGGTTGAAAACAAGGCTTAAATTCATACAAAATCAGCCTTTTTTTACTTAGATGAATGAATTAGAACTTTTGGGAGAAAACTTGTTGAGGGGATTCATCATCTTTTTATTGTGGAGAACCAAATTTAATTCAGGTTCCATTTTTCCCTTATTCCTTCCTGTTCGTTTTCAGTTTCTTTTTTTCTCAATTTTTTAAACCACCATCTAACGCGTACGCCATGCCCGGTGCATATGCAAAAAGTAGTGGGGGTGGGGGGGTGGTATTGAAAACGAACAAATTTATTGTTTTTACAATATTATTTCAGTGAGATAAGCCTGGATGATCTCGAAAATATCCGTGTTCCTGACTCTGCTTGGGGATTAAAAACCTGTTTAAAAAGTAAACAAACCAATGAGTTTATTTCTGCCTACGCTGACCGGGTGAAGAGGGACGGGCTGGAGGACGAGATAAGGCTACAGAATATGCAGGTCAGAGCAGGCCAAGAAAAATTGATTCTGGGGAGAAATATGTTGAAGAACCCCCCCCTCCCATCCCATCTTTAAAAATCTGGGGAAATGACAATTTTTTCGAAGAAATTTAATTATTTCCCCCATTTCAGTGGATAAAACTTAAACAAATTCCCTCTCCGCCTTCTAAATACTAATCATCTGGGGAAAAATTTATTTTTCAAGAAAAGATCTAAACCACCGTAGATATGTTTTGTCGGTAGTTTAAATAAAAAATGTTAACTACATTTTCTAAATATAGAAAAAAAAACTCAAATTTAGGTATACCTAGTTTGTATATATTCATAATACTAAACTTTTTTTGTAAACAAATGAACACCACGCCATATGTTCAATAAAAATGTTTGAAAAAATGTTTTCACTGTGTTAATACAGGATGCGAACCCGAGATATATACTCCGGAACTGGGTTGCGCAGGCAGCAATAGAGAAGGCGGAGCAGGATGATTTCTCCGAGGTTCAGTTTCTCCTTAAACTACTGCAGAATCCATTCAGGAAACCAAAATCAGATTATTTAAAAATTATAATTTTTTATGATGATCAAATTTTGATGATTTTAATGCTATTTTTACACACCCAAAAATCCTGAAAATATTACATTGAAGTTTCTAAGAAGTTTTTCTAACCGAAAAGCTTCAAGATGAATTTATAATTTTTAGTTTTATTTTTGATTTGATATTGGTTTTTAGAATTAACTTGGAAGCAGAGAAAAAAGGTTATGCCAGCCCACCTCCAAGCTGGTCAAAGAAACTAGCAGTCAGCTGTTCTAGTTGAGATGTAAAAACAAGCTAGCAGTCAGCTGTTCTAGTTGAGATGTAAAAACAAGCTAGTAGTCAGCTTTTCTACCTTAGATATATTAGCACGCTAACAGTCAGCTGTTCTAGCGGAGTACATCATAGTAAACTAATTGTGTCAGCTGTTCTAGCTGAGCTGGGTTTTGAACTATTTATAACTGTTAATCATACAACTTCTTGTTTTACTCTTCATAAATTCACTCTGAAGGAAAAATCACGTGACAACCTTTCACTGTATGTCTTATTTATCTCCAGTTAAAGCATATAAAATAACTAAAAATTTTAAGTTTTTCGTCGAGATTATATTAAAAATATTTTCAGATTAAAACCTTTAAAATTTTCCACCACAGTGTACTGAGTATGGGGGAGGGAGGAAGTAGAGATGGGGCTTTAGCTCAGGTAAACTTATTAATAATTTGAAGTAATCGGTCAGAAAAGTGAAAAGAAAAATAACGGATTGGGAAAACGTAAATATACAATGTAGGCCAGGTTATATCATTACAGTTTACTTCATAGAGGGGCGCGTAATGCGAGCGTAATACTGATGTCATAGTTGCCTATATTACATACTTTAAAAGGGTCATTCTTTATGAACTCAGCCAGTTTTTAAAAAACTTGGAAGTCATGGTTGGAATGGATTAAATTGTATAAAAGGACGAGTATGGTATAATGAACTATATTGTATGTTGTATAGAACGACGAGTATGGTATAATGAACTATATTGTATAATGTATATTGTATAGAACGACGAGTATGGTATAATGGACTATATTGTATATTGTATATAACGACGAGTATGGTATAATGTTCTACATTGTATATTGTATAGAACTACGAGTATGGTATAATGTACTATATTGTATATTGTATAGAACGACGAGTATGGTATAATGGACTATATTGTATATTGTGTAGAACGACGAGTTTGGCATAATGGACTATATTGTATATTGTATAAAAGGATGAGTATGGTATAATGGACTCTATTGCATATTGTATAGAGGGACGAGTATGGTATAATGGACTATAGTGTATATTGTACAGAAGGACGAGCATGGTGAAATGAACCATATGATATATTGTACAGTAGGATGAGTATGGTATAATGGACTCTATTGCATATTGTATAGAGGGACGAGTATGGTATAATGGACTATAGTGTATATTGTATAGAGGGACGAGCATGGTGAAATGAACCATATGATATGTTGTATAGAAGGACGAGTATGATATAATGGACTATATTGTATACTGTAAAGAGGGACAAGTATGCTGAAATGGACTATATTGTATACTGTATAGAGGGACGAGTATGGTCTAATGGACTATAGTGTATATTGTACAGAAGGACGAGCATGGTGAAATGAACCATATGATATATTGTATAGAACGACGAGTATGATCTAATAGACTATATTGTATACTGTAAAGAGGGACAAGTATGCTGAAATGGACTATATTGTATACTGTATAGAGGGACGAGTATGGTCTAATGGACTATAGTGTATATTGTACAGAAGGACGAGCATGGTGAAATGAACCATATGATATATTGTATAGAACGACGAGTATGATCTAATAGACTATATTGTATACTGTAAAGAGGGACAANCTTATATCCGCCCCTGACTATATTGTATATTGTATAGAACGACGAGTTTGGCATAATGGACTATATTGTATATTGTATGGAGGGGCGAGTATGGCATAATGGACTATATTTTATATTGTATAGAGGGACGAGTATAGTCTATTGGACTATATTTTATATTGTATAGAAGAACGAGTATGGTATAATGGACTATATTGTATATTGTACAGTAGGACGAGTTTGGGAAAATGGACCATATGGTATATTGTATAGAGGGACGAGTATGGTATGATGGACTATATTGTATGGAGGGACGAGTATGGTATAATGGACTATATTGCATACTGTACAGAGGGACGAGTATGCTGAAATGGACTATATTGTATACTGTATAGAGGGACGAGTATGGTGTAATGGACTATATTGTATATTGTATAGAAGGATGAGTATGGTATAATGGACTCTATTGCATATTGTATAGAGGGACGAGTATGGTGTAATGGACTATATTGTATATTGTATAGAAGGATGAGTATGGTATAATGGACTATATTGTATACTGTATAGAGGGACGAGTATGGTGTAATGGACTATATTGTATATTGTATAGAACGACGAGTATGGTATAATGGACTATATTGTATACTGTATAGAGGGACGAGTATGGTGTAATGGACTATATTGTATATTGTATGGAGGGACGAGTATGGCATAATGGACTATATTGCATACTGTATAGAGGGACGAGTATGCTGAAATGGACTATATTGTATACTGTATAGAGGGACGAGTATGGTGTAATGGACTATATTGTATATTGTATAGGAGGACAAGTATGGTATAATGGACTATATTGTATATTGTATAGAAGGATGAGTATGGTATAATGGACTCTATTGTATATTGTATAGAGGGACGAGTATGGTATAATGGACTATAGTGTATATTGTACAGAAGGACGAGCATGGTGAAATGAACCATATGATATATTGTATAGAAGGATGAGTATGATCTAATAGACTATATTGTATACTGTAAAGAGGGACAAGTATGCTGAAATGGACTATATTGTATACTGTATAGAGGGACGAGTATGGTCTAATGGACTGGACTGACCAACTAGGAAAAATCCAGGTCCCCCGACAAACCCTGAACAAGCTTGTGATGAACTATCTGGTCACAGAGGGGTTTAAGGTTAGTGATTATTAAAAAAGATTTTTTTTTCATTGATAAACGGGAAATGGATGTAATTTTCATCGACTCTACATTCAATGAGTTGCATGTTCAATCCACAGCAATAATTTTTAAACCATTACTTGTAATGGTGTCATCCTTTTATTTCTATCCAAAAATTATTATTTTCAATTGCTGTTCTCCGAATAAAATGGATGCGGATTTTTTTGCAGAAATAGGGATGGAATTAAGAAAATATTATAAATTTTCGAGATAGATAAACAACGATATCTTCCTCATTGTTAATCCGATAATGTGCTAAAGAGTTCTTATATTGAGTGTCAAATTCCCTTTAGTTTAGACTATTAAATCAAATGTTATTAAATAGAAAATATCCTTGATATTTAAAATTATACAAAACCTCTCAGATTTACTTATTGTGATCAAGTCTTAACCAATGAAATTATCTAGAAATAACTATAACTATAAAGATTCTTCTGATCTAGGATGCTGCTGAAAGGTTCCAGGACGAGTCTGGAGTATCTGCAGACATAGATCTCAACCTACTGGATACTAGGATCAGTATCCGGGATTCTATACAGGTACTAGGATACTCATGCTCAACCTTTTGGATACTAGGATTAATATTCGGGATTATAAATACTACAGGTACAATGATGTTTAACATATAGATCACGACCTACTGGATACTAGGATCAGTATCCAGGATTCTATACAGGTACTAGGATACTGAACCGACTGGATACTAGGAAATACATACAAAGATCTTAACCTTCTGAATTCTACGTTACAGGATTAAGGGGAAAAATCATTCACTATAAATTATTTCAGATTTTTTCAATATGCTTTTGTGTGTTTAACTAACTCCGTGGTCTTGGTCTCCCAAACTGACTTCCAGATTAATGACCATTGATTGATTGATTGATTGCTTGATTGCGTGATGGATTGCTTGCTTGATTGATTGATTGATTGATTGCTTGATTGATTGCTTGCTTGATTGATTGATCGGTATTCTATATTTAGGCTGGTAAAATGGAGGAGGCCATTGCTCTGATAAATGACCTTCATCCGTCTTTGCTTGATGAACAGAGGTAATTCGGGCAAAGGATTTATTTGACCAGAGCTGGGAACTTTTGAATGGGATATCCTTAATCTTGCTCTGATAATTAATCTGGAGATTATAAATGAGAGGAGAACAAGCATTATTTAATCTCGAGATTAAGAAAAAGAGTGGAAAAGCCTTAATCTCGATATCCACCATTCTAAAATTTTTAGCTCAGAGCTGAAAACTTTAGAATGGGATATCCTTAATCCCGATCGGTAAATTAATCTGGAGATTAATAAAAAGAGGAGAACAAGCATTATTTGATTTTGAGATTAAGAAAAAGAGGAGATCAAGCATTAATCCTGATATCCACTATTCAACAGTTCCCAACTCTGAGCTGGGAACTTCAGAATGGTGGATATCGGGATTAATGCTTAATCCACTCTTTTTCGTAATCTCGAGACTAACACAATCTCGAGATTATGTTAGTCTCGAGATTAGTTATTTAGGTCAACAAATTTGATTCTAGGAACGCCAGATTTGTTCGTTTTCTTGACTAGAAGGGCCTTAACTTAATTTCTCACACATTTATTTATTAATACATTAGTTAAAATTAGTTAAAAAAGAATGTCAAACGTATTATTACATATTTTAATTTAACGATTAATTTACAAAATGGCCGACAAATTGCGGAGGTCTCTCATTGGATATAATTTATTTTCAAGCCTGTCAATGGTTAATACAATTTACGAACTATATTCCTGCACTCTCATTGTAGAGAAGAACTATGTACGGATATCCAAAGAGTGAGGAAAAGAGTGGATTAAACACTAAAATTAAAAGTTTCCACAATGGATATTCGGATTTAGCAGTCGGGATTAAAGGTTATTCATTCTAAAGTTCCTAGCTCTGAGCTGGGAACTTTTGAATGGTGGATATTGGGATTAAGGCTTAATCCACTCTTTTTCTTAGTCTCCAGAATAACATAATCTTGCAAGATTATCTTAAAAGTGTATGTAAAACGATAAAATTCAAATTAATATTTAATCATCTGAGAAACTGTAGCAGCCAATCAGAGAAAAGCGGGCAACCAATGAGAGAACAGAAATATTCTCATTGGAGAAAAATTTAGAAAGTAGAGGAGGCTTTAGAGTTTGCTGGGAACCATCTAGCAGAGAGAGGAGAGGAGGATGCACAGGTGAGAGCACCACTCATTAACCTTCTCCCTTTCTGTCATCCCTACCTTCCAATCCTGTTAACTCCTGTTAAATCTAAATTTTAAAAAATTGGACTAATTAAACCTGGATGTTGGCCGTTAGTCATGATTACCTCCTTGTTTATTAGGTTCTGCAGGAACTAGAGCGAACATTAGCTCTGCTTGCATTTGAGGATCCATTTAGTTCACCTTTCTCAGATCTTCTCTCACTAACACATCGGCAGCAGGTTAGTTCGTTATTGTTTAGTTGATTTTTCTTCCCTTGATTGATTGATTGATTGATTGAGTGATTGATTGATTGCTAAGGTGGCAGGAGAAGTAAATGAAGCTATACTTAAAGCTGAGAATGCTGATTCAGCTCAGTCCCAGCTAGCCACTAATCTTAAACTCCTTATATGGGCACAGGTGAGCAAATTATTAAGCTTTTTAGGATCGCATTAAAAATTTTTACAAAAAGAACAAATCGGTTTTTAAAGAATAATGAAATGAAGCAAAATTCATAAAAAATGACTGAGCTGTGATAATTAATGGACATCTACCAAATCCATGAAAAGCCGGTTGGGGAATTATCAGGACGGATAAACATACAAAATAAGCACATTAAAACTTAAGTGACAGATAAACCTTAAAATATATAGGGTTTGTATTTAACATTCAAGGTTTGAATTTAACATTCAAAACAAAATGAACATTTCATGATAATATATTTGACGTTTTTTCTTCAGGGAACCAGACTTATTTACATTATACAAGGTTACCCGCAAAGGATTAGACTTCAGAGACGACTGTACGAAATTAATACTGTCTGTTTCCTCATGTACAATATATATCATTCCCCGCAACTGTAAAATTGTGTCTTTGTCAGAACTAAAAGACTTAGTTCAACTAAGGGATAGTCGTATCTTAGTTTCAAGTCGTCATTACAATCTTATCATTTGTTGGTAACCCTTTAATCCATATTTGCTCTAGGATGAGTTGGATAAAAAGAAGGTCAGATATCCTCATATGACAGATCTTGCCTCCGGAAAATTACAGGATTCTAAATGATCCTTGGAGCCGGAGGTTCGACCTCTGGCCTTATCCCCTCTCTTCCCCTCACCCCTCGACCCAATCCCCTTCTTCGCCCAGCCTCGGGCTCCTAGTCGAGCTCCTCGAGGTCCTCCGCATCTTGATCCTTCAGCTCCTCCGGGTCCGGAGCAGATGAATCCTCCTCCCGGAGCAAGGTTTATGCTCGGAAACCTTCCAAGAGCAGGGTTTCCTCCTCCTGGTCAACCTCCTCCTGGAGCAGGGTTCGAACTCAACCTTGAGTTTCATCCTAATCAATAGGATCACTCTCAATTTCAATACTCATTGATCAGGATTCGAAAAAAGACACAATACAGTAGCAAATATATTAGAATTATTTCCTTCAATTTCTAGATTGATAATGTTTATGCTTTATTAGATTAAAAATTAAATTGGGCTGTCAATCTGTTTCTTTATCCCCTCGTTTCCATTAAAATTAACTAACTCAAAGTAGAATTAAAACATTAATTTAAAGAAGGGGGGGGGGATTTTTCAATGTACATAAGTAATAAATCAGTATGCATAATGTTTATAAATCTTTGTCTTAAGTTAACTGCAATGCTTTGATTTAACGGATTTGGTGTCTACTTAAAAATATATATACAGTATCTATACAGTATCTTCTCCACCACTTCTTTAAACTCACATTTTATACATTCTTTGACAATACGCAAACGTTATTTACCGTCTTGTGTCCATTTAGAATTTAAAAACTCTGTAAATACTGACATCTTATTGTAAGTTAGAAAAATTTAAAAAACTAAAATTTCAGAAAAATGACGCAGGCAATTAATCTTCTAGATCTGGATCCGGATCAGGTTATTTTTGTATCATCATTATTCATACTTTATAAGAACTTTTTAAGCTCTCCAATTGGCCTTTTATATATAAAATTTTTAGGATTACACTTTTTATTCTTTAGTATTAGTCAATACTTTTAGATCTTAAAATACTGGTTCTTAAGGACTGTCAACGCAAAATTTCAAGTGATCGATTCACAACGGTAACCGTTGAACTTTTTTCTGAGCAACGGTGTTAAATGTATCTTTGGTTTTTATTTAAGTTTTGGTTGATTCCCTTTAAAAGTGAATTGCGAACACTAATAAAGAAAATTGACAGTTTTTAGTTTCTGAAAACTAACGATATCTTCTTTATTGTTACTCAGATTAAGGTTCAAAGGGTACTGTTGTGAATCGTGCATGGCGGAACACTAGCAGGAGTGCATACATATTATATTCAATTTCCTGTTTATTTTGGACTAATTCTGTTATGTCTTTTTCTCAATCAATATTTGTTTTTTGTTCTAACGAAAAATATTTGATTACAGTTGCTGAGTGTGAGTGGGGTAGAGGTGGTGGAGGGTGTGGCCAGGAGACTGCAGAGGGAGGTAGACTCGAAGAGGGAGGAGCTCAGAGTTATGGTCGGAGAAAGATACAGGTAGGTGGACCATGAACTTGACTTTGAATGGATCAATGATCAATGATAGGGATATTGATCCTGACCTCAATACTGACCTTGATCATGATATCCTTATATCTATTCTTTTTCAAGACCTCGACATTAAAAACTTTAAGCGACACTCCATCTTACATGCCAGAATTAAATCGGTACTTAACTTTAATCTCAGTAAATAAAGTTAAGATATCCTTGATTTGCGATTTTTAAAATCGACAATTTTTTTATTAGGGTTTTTGAGCAATTTTCTTGTTAAGTTAAAAAAATATCGGTTTTTTTGCATATATAAATTAAGGTTCAAAGGGTGTCGGTTTGTATCGATCATCCCGGTCTTTAAATTGAGTCATTTGAAGTTATGTGTGCAGTCCCTTTAGGCTTTAATGGATAATTTGTTTTAAAGGGACCTGATCGAGGCAGCAGATACAATACAGAATATGAAAACAAGTTCTACATCCATCATAGACAGTGTCAGGCATGGAAAATATTTTCCTTTTTAAACAATTTTTCAAAAAAGATTAATATAAAATTGTAAAAATTATCTTAAAATCATTTTCACAATAAAAATTTGAAAAAATCTAGGGTTACAAACCAAAGGAATATTTTCTATCAGTGAAATGCAAAAATCTACCTTAAACCTTCCGAAGCAGTCTCTGATATACACAGTTCCAAGAAACACGGGTATAAAAACTAATATTGAAAGTCACTGGATCGTTCTGGAATCTTTTTAAAGCTTACCCTACCCACTACCCTGCTACCTATTTAATACCTACTCTAATATTTAAATATTTAGCCGAGATGTTAATTTCCTACCCTACCATTTTAATTTAACTATATATTTATAGTATTTACCCTACTTTTACCTTACTTCTACCTATTTATAATCCGGCCCTACTGGATTAAACCTACACTAGATATTATAAACCTGTTAAGAATCCGGTCCTGCTTGACTTAACCTACTCTAGATATTAAAAAGCTATTTATAATCCGGGCCTACTGGATTAAACCAACACTAGATATTATAAACCTATTAAGAATCCGAGCTCACTGGATTAAACCTCCTCTAGATATAATCAACCTATTTAGAATCCGGACCTACTGGATAAAACCTACTCTATTTATTTTAAACCTATTTAAAATACGGATCTACTCGATTAAACCTACACTAGATGTTATAAACCTATTTAGAATCCGGCCCTACTTGACTTAACCTACTCTAGATATTAAAAAGCTATTTATAATCCGGCCCTACTGGATTAAACCTTCACTAGATATTATAAACCTATTTAGAATCCGGGCCTACTTGACTTAACCTACTCTAGATATTATAAAACTATTTAGAATCCGGGCCTACTTGATTTGCGAAAAAAAAATTGCAAATTTTTTGCAAACAACCTGCCAAAGGAAATTTGCACATTTTTAGTTTTTCTTGATTAAAAATCAGGTTATTTAAAATTTTGCAAAAATTTTTGCATATTTGAAATGGCATGGTCAAGGACTTTTCAAAAATGTATAATTTTTCATTTTTTGGACAAAAATTTTTTTTGCAAATATTTTACTATATAACTGGATTTTGCGATAAAAAATTAAATTTTTGCAAATTTGCAAATTTTTTTGCAGATTCTAAAAGTAGAGCACAAGAGCTTTCTAATGATGTATCATTTGTCATATTTGGACATCAAACTTGGGATTTAGAGGGGGGTCAAATTGACCCCCCCCCAGCATATCCTGGTTTTCAAGTACCCCAGCAGGGATAGGGTTAACCTACTCTAGATATTAAAAAGCTATTTATAATCCGGCCCTACTGGATTAAACCTTCACTAGATATTATAAACCTATTTAGAATCTGGGCCTACTTGACTTAACCTACTCTAGATATTATAAACCTATTTAGAATCCGGGCTTACTGGATTAAACCTACACTAGATATTATAAAGCTATTTATAATCCCGCCCTACTGGATTAAACCTACTCTAGATATTATAAAACTATTTAGAATCCGGCCCTACTTGACTAAACCTGCCGTAGATATTGTAAACCTGTTAAGAATCCGGGCCTACTGGATTAAACCTGCCGTAGATATAATAAACCTATTTAGAATCCGGACCTACTTGACTAAACCTACTCTAGATATTATAAAACTATTAAGAATCCGGGCCTACTTGATTAAACCTACTCTAGATATTATAAACCTATTTAGAATCCGGGCCTACTTGACTAAACCTACACTAGATATTATAAAACTATTTAGAATCCGGGCCTACTTGACTTAACCTACTCTAGATATTATAAATCTATTTATAATTCGGCCCTACTGGATTAAACCTACACTAGATATTATAAACCTATTAAGAATCCGAGCTCACTGGATTAAACCTCCTCTAGATATAATCAACCTATTTAGAATCCGGACCTACTGGATTAAACCCACTCTATTTATTTTAAACCTATTAAGAATCCGGACCTACTGGATTAAACCTACTCTATTTATTTTAAACCTATTTAGAATCTGGACCTACTGGATTAAACCTCCTCTAAATATTATAAACCTATTTAGAATCCGGACCTACTGGATTAAACCTACCGTATCTGTATGTTGCTTCCAGTATAAAACTGTTGATGATAGTTCCGGAGAAAATTTGGGCAGCTGTAGAGACGGGAAATCTGTTACAGGTTCTACAAGATTTTTATATAAAGCTGTAAGCATGTTTTCATGTGTGCGTCCACTTTAGTTTGTACAATTTGTGACCACTTAATTGCGTCCACTTTTGTGAATTGTACAATTGTATTGTGTAACTGTAGAAAGCGAGTTTTATAATTTTCGGAAATATTTTTTAAGAGACAAATTCCTGTTGAAAGGGCCTCATTGTTGACTTCTCCAGTAAAGGTCTCATTGTAACTCAATGTCAATTTTAGATTTTATCAATGAAAGGAACCTGACGTTTTTAGGACTTTGCATAATTTGAAGTTTTTTCTTCAAATATCTTTTTTATCTGTCAACACTGAGTTGTTTCTAAAACATTTTTGTAGTAAGCTTCAGATCACTTTGCGGTCCTTTTGTATTTTCATTTAGTACATTAGATAAACATATCCTAGTGTCATTGAAGTCCAATGTCATTCCAGGGCGCTGAACTTTATCTGTTGGCCCAGCATGTAAACACTGGTCTTCTCATGGATCAGGGAGGAGGGATTACCCCAGATAGGTAAACTGTGGAAGATTGACAGAAGATAATTTTTTCATTTAAAGAGAGTGTTCGCGAACAAAAAAAGGGGTATAAAGGGTGAACCGTGACTAAATTATTATTCTATTTAAAATACTTTAAACTCTATCCGATGTTTCTAAAAGGGAAACTAAAAAAAAAACTATGCTTTTTTATAATTCCCTGCACAAATGACAAATTGTTTTATGTTCAGAATAAAACAATGGTTTCCTGTTGTATCCAGACAGTACGCTACTATTAATAACTTCTATAACAGTATAATTAACAGGTAATACAATCTGTAAATCTCATAAAAAACCATGTTACTCCCCCCCCCCCCCAAATTAATACTTTCTGCAATCTTTACCTTATTCTAATCAAGACCAATGTTTTTTTTCTCATCAGCCAATAGTTCAGAGTTTTAGCCGATATAATAATTACTTCTCAGTTGATTAAATTCAGACTGATTCTGTCAGTGCTGTAAATTTTCTTGAATAATTATTTCCTCCGCCCTGTTTGAAAATAACCTTCCCTTTCAGATGTTGGGTATGTTTTTGCAATTTTTTAACGGTTTTTTTTCTTCTATGAATTAGGGGAAAAATATTTTCCTTTTTAAACAATTTTTCAAAAAAGATTAATATAAAATTGTAAAAATTATCTTATCCTCCCCGCCACCCTTTCTAAATTCTGTCAGTTCAAAAGTTCCGTGAGTTTAAAAGTAACTAACTATTGCAAGATAGCAAATAAAAAATGTTTATTTTTAAGTGCAAAGGATCAGCTGATGAATCTAGATTTAAACAAAGATCAAGCTGTGGATGCTCTAACTGCTCTTCTTCTGCTAAAAGTAAGAAAAATATTAATTATTATGAATAATTGGTGACAACACTGTAGATGTTTTTAAGTTTAAGTGAATTTCTTTTATGGAGTGGGCACGTCCGATTCATAACGGTATGAACGAGAGGCGCAAATTAACCCTATTTAGCCTGACGTCTGGTTTACTGACTGGGTGTCCGGGGGAGAGGGGCCAAATTGACCCCTTCCCCCTCTATTTTCTTATTGTGAAATTCAAATGTGAAAAACATTTTTATAACGTAAATATTTATTCAAGAAAAACTGAAAATGTGCAAATTCCCTGTGAAGGCGTCTGTTCTAAATTTCTTAGTAAAAATTGTGCAATCTGCTTGCTTTTTTGAAGGCTTTCCAAAGAGCTATAAAATGGTGAAATCCAATGCTGGAAGTATGTCTAAATATAGATTCAGTCTGGCATAGGTAAAATAAGGCATTTAGGCAGTATGCCTGAGGACTCGGGCAGTAGGTATAATAGGCCAGCTTTTAGCCGGCTTAGGCAGTAGGTATAATAGCCCAGCTTTTAGTCTTAAGTGGGGGACAAATGTTAGTTAGAAAAGCCAGAAAATGTGAGCTTCCTAGCTCAAATACTTTTAGAGTTTTCGCAAAAACGATACGGGGGGGGGGGGTCAAACTGATGCCCCCCCCCAGGCCGGCCAAATAGGGTTAAGGAAATTAACAGAATTCAACTGTTGTGTTTTTTTTCTGAAAAGCGACGATATCTTCCTCATTGTACCCAAAAATAGGTTTAAAGGGTACCGTTATGAAGTAGAAGTATGAAGTTACAAATGGAGCGCTTCTTTTCTTTACAAGTCAACAGTCCTTTTATAAAAAGTTTGGAAAGTTGGAGAAGGACGTCCACTAAAGTCGGATTTGAAATCACTCAAAACTAAATTTCATCGTACATATTCTTACTAATATTCTTTGTTAAAAATCCTATTTATTTTTTTTGGGGGGGGGAAGGGGGGAGGTTTTTTTAAATTTATTAATATCTTTTAAGATATTAGTTTAACTAAATCTAGGGGGCCAGCTCCAGTGACATCTTTGATGACTTCTTGGAACTAAGAAGAGAATGTTTGAACCAGGCGAAAATACGGGGACGAAGCGAGTCAGCTAGGTAAGATTTAGATTCTTAAGCTGTTTACACTGCCCCGTGGTGGTACTTCATCTTCGGATGACAGGGGGGGGGGGGGTGAGTGTTGGTCAACCGAACGCGGTCTGGGTTCTCCAACCTGGATCTTGTTGGACTGATATACCTAAGACACTGCAGTACCCTTATTCTTCTAGCGTAACTTTGAGGATACCCTCAATCTCCTTGCTAAATAAAAGGTTTTATTGAATTGTTGATTTTGTAATTTCAACTTTTAAAATATTCAATATTTCATTCACACCACCGTAAAAATGATTTAATATTTCCTTCACACTACCTAGTGTATGAATATCAATGATCCATAACATTTTTCATGAGTTTTTTTATTTTGAAGGAGTTCAATTTGCGGATTTCTCCGAGGGATAATCAGTACTGTTGACTGTGTATCAAGTATATTTACTGGAGAAACTCGGCTTAAAGTTGTAGTTAACAAGCTTAGCAGTCCGGACTCAGAACCATCTCTTGCTCTAATAGGTAACATGGAACACCCATTGGCCAACCTTTAGGTAACATGGAACGCACATTGTCCGCCCTTATCCAAGCTTTAAAATCATTTTTTATGGTTTTGATTAAAAAAGAACATTTTTCCTTGTGTTCAATAGTAAATAAAGAATAACCTTGCTACATTGTTGTAAGATAGAAAGCTATCAAAATCTTGGTAAACTAAAATAATATAGGCCATAATGTTTAATTATGAGAAAAAACTTTAAGATGTCCAATGTCCATTGAGTAGATTACAGTTAGTTATAGATGTACCACAATAAACCTTAATTAGATTTTTTAAATACTTATTGTATAAATGTTTAGATAAGACTAGTCTGGGTGCTATAGGAAGATATCTCCCTAGCCCTGTTCTCAACTTTAAACCTCGTCTCTCCAAAATATACTTAGATTTACAACAAAAAGAAATAGGTACCTAATCCTTGATCAACGTTTTTTTTGAACATTTTCTTAATATGTTTAATTTACATTTAAACGAAAACAAGCAGTAATTGCAATACAATAGTATCTCATTAATAAACATTTTATTTGTCTGCGTTTTGGGGTGGATTAAAAGAATAATGAGAGGGGTGCTGGATTTTATTCTTATAAATTTGTATTTTGTTTCCAAATGTTTGAAAATTCAAAAATAGTTAGTTTTAATGAATCTCATATTTTCTGAACATTTCCCCTCATAGTGAATAAGATGTCAAGTTGGTTGGAGGGTGTTGAGGTGGAGGTTAGGGAGGAGGTCTCCAGTCTCCTCAAGGATATCCTCAACCTCCAGGGGGTATCAGGAGTTAGACAGGGAATCTGGTCCCTCCTACAGGAGTATTCACCTTACAAACAGTGGTCTACTGCTACACAGGTATATCCTTTTTATCACTTTATTAAAGGGACATTTTATTTCGAGTAAAAGGTGTTTTCGACGAAATATTTGGTGATCCCCCATTTAGATTCACCCAAAGAGCCTGGTAAAAAAGAAGAGGAGGCACTGGGATTTATACGCAAAACCAGACTTTATAATGGTTCAAATATCAAATAAGAAGCTACAGAATGTCGTCTTTTCCATAATTCAGAAAGATTTTAGGACTGTTGAAGCATATCTCTCACCGAAAACCTTTTTTTTACGTAATTTGTAGAAATACTTTACTTTAATATATCTTTGTGGATAAACTTTATCTTAAAACAGATTGCAATGTTTGGATTGAAAATTTTTGGCCTCTTTTAGGCCCTGCTCACTTTACCGGCTTAAAATTCTGCTTTAAACTAAATGAAAACTGTACTTAAAGATTAATAAATTTAGTTTTAAAAAAATTTGGTATTTTTCATACAAATAAGATGCGTAACAAAATTGCAATTTTAGGTTTATTTTAGTAGAGCATCCTATCCTATAACTGATAAAACAAATTTAGAATTTTATTACCGTGTCGTTCATTTCCGACCATTTTTAGCCATTACAAGCATTAATTTATTTGATAATTAGAGTTTTAATGTTGAATTTTTTAATTAAAAACCAATACTGCAGCCAATGACGTCATGAACGAGTATACACTGTAAACTATTCAGATACATTCCTTATCTCTTATCTTCTACTATTGGACCGGACCAACTTTGGATTTAACGATTTAAACCGTATCTGAGTAACAGTGAGGAAGATGTTTTCCTAGTTTTATTGCAAAAAGACTAAATTCAGTAAATTTTCTTCCTTGTCTACATACATTACATTACTATACATACATTTAATTCACTAGCTAATCAAATAATGTTTTAACTAGTTTCAATGACTTACATTAATTGCAAATTTAATTAAGCTAACAAGTTTTAAACAATATGCTCACTAGTTTTATCTAATTCAAAATATACATTTGAAACAAAATGCTCGCTGGGTAGACCTCTGTCATGCAATTTTAGCCCGGTTACAGGGTACATTTTGTATGACGTTGGTCCAAAAGTAAGGCATGACTCAAACTTGGTCGTGCGGCAAGGAACTTCGCACTTTACAAACAAATGTTGATGGGATGTTTTAAAAATAGGAAGAAGTCCAGACTGAAAAACCAGGACACGGAAAGGACTTGATCCTCCAATCCATTACTGGAGTCCATTGCCATCCCCGCCCCTTGTGATTTGATTTGATTTGATGCTGTGTAAATCTGCAAAGAAATTTTTACAAAGAAATCTTAATTGAAAATGCTTTATTTCAGGTTTATTAACTCTTTTATATTTTTTTAACTTGTAAAGGCGACACGGATTTTTTTCTATACTATTTTAAATATTCAGAACGTGGTTGGGAGTAGTATTGATGTTTGGGAGAACTTGTACAGGGAGACAGTTCTAGTGAGGGTTCAGGTTCTCATCTCGGCTAATATAGACAAGGTTCTAGCCAGGCTACAGGCAGACATAAAAGGTAATAATTAACATTACAATTTGAAAATTTCTCCGACCTTAGTTCTACCAATGTTTAGATGCAAAAATTGCATTCACAGATTTGGATTCCGAATTTTTAACATGTTTTCAATGTTGGCAGAATTGAAACTAAGAACATTTTCAAAGAAATTGAGTCTTTACCCTTTAGCTTTACAACCCAATGTCGTAGACATTAGATAATTCAAACTATGAATTCTGTTAGATCAAATAATCTAAGTTTGAAATATCAAAGTTTTACGCCATCAGGGTTCTAAGATATAGGGATTAGTCCATTAAGTTTATGGTAAAGTCGCAATTTTTTTGACTTGCCCTTTTGTTAGACTCCACCACATGAAAAGACGTAATAACCAAACCCCTCATTATTTTTTTGAAAACATTATTACACAGACTTGAACTTGATAAAACCTGTTCTTATTTTAGAAAAAAGTGCCAACTGTGATACAGAGGTTAACCTCGGTGCCTACATCTGGGGCGAGGCTGGAGGGGATCTGTCCTCCCTGTGGACTAGAGCTGAGGGAGAGGCCAGCCTTACTTTGAAATCTCGAGGATGGAGTAGCGAGGTCAAAGCAGTCTCAGCAACCTTCGACACCGAGCTTGCAATCATTTGGTCGGAAGTTCTAGCATACAATAAAGGTAAAAGATAATTAATCAGCTTAGATTAAAAAAATAAATTATCCCGATCTAAGCTTTTCTTTCGTATAAGTTATTATTACATTATTATTATTAGTATTATTATTATTATCATTCAACCAAGAGTCAACGTATCATGTCCTGTAGTACTTCTGCTTCTAGATGCTTTTTCCTGGATTACAAAATTTTGCACTGTATAGTCACTTTTTCACTGGCATTTTTTTTATACATAATCAAATATTTTTTGGGGGAATACATCTTTCAGTTCTACAATATCAAGAATTTTAACTTTACTGTTATGTTTGATATTTTTTTCAGTTGAGGAGACTGAAAAAGGTCCATTTGATCGATTCAAAGATTCCGGAGCAGTATTAAACCATTTCCGAACCTCGCTTATTTCCGGGCTGAAGGAGCTGGTCGGACACATCAGCAGTACACGCGGGGAACAGGAGAAGAAACAAACAACTTTATTTCTTGCCAGAGTTCTCCAGAGTTTACCTGTTCTTGTAAAAACCTTAACGGTGAGCCTACAGAGTCCCCAGGGTGGGAAAGAAGAGGTTCAAGAGTTTCTGGTTTCTAGTTCAACGGATTTATACGCGAAGTGGTCGACAGATGTCTTAGAAGAATTCAGGTGAAATTTTATAAAATGTAGTATAATGAATCAACTGCCAAACACAGAGTAAATCTTTGTTTAATATAGTATGTATAGTGTATGTACTATGTATACTATACAGAATATTTTTACAAATGAATTAGAAAGAATTAACCTAATCAGTGTCAATTAATAAATGAAATTTGTTCCTTTTCGTTAAGTTTCAAAAGTAATAATCATAATCGGTTTCAATCTGATCTGTTTTAATGATAAACTCGGTTGACAGGAGCGCCGGCCCCAACTTTACTGAACGACGGGTTGTCAATTAATAATAATAATAATAATTTATAATAATTTAACCAAATATTTGACTGGCTCCACATGTGAAAAGTCTCTCCAAACTGAACGACGGGTTGTCAATTAATAATAATAATAATAATTTATAATAATTTAACCAAATATTTGACTGACTCCACATGTGAAAAGTCTCTCCAGGTCCTACAGCTAACTACACCCCCTCCCCTATAGAAATTAAAATTAATATGTTTATTTATGTTTTATATTTATGTTACAAGGGGGATCTTGGCACTACAGCTATTGGTCACTGCGCAAACTATTGTGTAAAATAGAATAATTCTCGTAAAAATGCTGTAAATTATGTACGTGTATGACACCAGTTCTCGTTAGCCAATTTAGTGCCAAATATTTAGTCAAAGAGTAGTGAATTTATGGAACAGTATCCCGGGAGAAGTTGAAAACGCTAGAAATCCTAAAATATTCAAAAAGCATTTACCAACAGTGATATAAATAGTTACCTACTGAATCTATAGACTCTATGCAGATGTTCTCAATATGCCCCTAACTGGGGTCTAAAGATTAAAACACCAAATAAACAAAAAATAAAAGCTCACTGAAGTTAAGCATACTTGTCCAAAGCCAGTAACTAGAAGTATCCCATCCGGACTTACAAATGATTGGGAGCAATGAGTGTGATGTTTCCCGTCTGTAAGCCACCTGAACCTCATTCCGGTATATCGAAAGTATTCCTGCATTCTACTATTCTCAGGCCTAAGAAGCCCTTAGGCAGCTAGAATCTTGTCTACCCTCTTCTCAGTATGAATGAAGCGTGGATGGATGAATGTGCTGCCAGATTACAACCCCTGGCAGATCAATTTAAACCCAAACAACACCAAACTTTCGCAATTGAAAAATTCCGAGATTTGATCGTGACAACCCGATAATGTCCTGGTGACAAAAAAAATGTTTTCAAAAAAATATTATTATTTTATTGTTTCACATTTTTAAACTAAAAATGAGTTATCTAAACTTCTGGCCAAAAAATGTCGTTTTTGGTTGTAATAAACAACTTTAAATATTAACCTTTTGTCTCTTAGGGAGGAGTTAAACTCAGTAAAAGGAGAAGATGTTTTAAATATTCTACCAGCCTGGGATACAGTCAAGATTCAGGTAGGAATTAGTATTTTATGCTATTTGAATACCCGGCTTTGTCTGTAGTTTACACTTACATCCTCAACTAGACGGGCCGTGGTTACAAATTGATTACAACCATTTTTAAATTGCACATTTTTTTATTAATTAAGAGTTGTGGGGAGGAACTGGGGGGGGGGGGGCTAGACTTTGAACTTTGAACTGTTATTTTTCTGATTTACATCCCAAATCTCAAAAAACCAGATGGGTCAGTCTGATGATTTCAAGGATGATTTCAAGGATGTAGGAGGATTTGAATATATAAGCCTTAGTACTTTTCCAGAAGAAATTCTGCCAGAATACATTTTTCGAAGTGCACTGTTTATACAAAAATAGTTCGTTGACATAAATATAAGAAAAGTAAAATGTTGTATAGGAGAGTGGTGAGAGTGGAGACGTGAATAGTATTATCCGTGTTCCAGGAACTCCTTCCTTACACCTTACATCAATCCTATTCAACCTTGCTCTTAAAATACACAGAGCTCATCCATCAGCCATTCCCGCATCCGTTCTGCTCCAGGTGTCCAGATCAGTACTGGAGATTCTAGTCTCCTATGTGGAGTGTCTACTGGAGAATAAACTAGCTCAAAACCTGGCTCTTCAGCTCTCTTTCAACCTGAGGTTTGCGGAGACTATGCTTCTCTCCAGGGAGTATAAGGTAAGATTTTAAACAATACAACTAACCCATTCATTGTTAAAGGGACTGAAGCGTAAATTAAAGTGACCCACAATGCAAAGATAACATTGGCCGATTTACCACGGTAACCATGAAAGCTTTGCCTGAAAAAGTATGAATTATATGTCAATTTTTTTTCATTAAACGGTTTATTTTCATTTGCAGTTTCTATGAGAATGTGATTCACGCATTTCTTGCCTATAAGAAGTTATCACAATTGAACACTTTTCCGAGTCAGAAATACCACAGTATCTCCAACCTTTTTGATCAGATTAAGGTTTAAAGGATTCCATTGTAAATCAAGACTATGACATAAAGGAATATGAAAATAGTGGCTATGCCATCAGTTAATGTGTGGAATGTTTTTATTTTCGTAAGGATGATACAGGGTGTCCCAATAAACATGGGAATTCAGTGAGGAATTCAATATAGTTTTTTAAATAATTCTTTTAATAATAAATGATTTAGTATAGTGATACCTACTGAGAAAGCTGTAATCTCTAAAAGTTTCGTCTGCTATGTTCAGATTTTGTTTATGTTTTGACTGCATACGGTTGTACTTAGTAAAACAAGAAAATTGCATTATACAAACAGAGTAAACTTGTCCGTTTTCACTGCACATCTTTACAGTCTTTTACCCTTTTCATAAAATAAATTAGGTATTACAATGCTAATTCATAACAAATACTATATCCAATTCGTCACTGAATTCCCATGTTTTTTGAGACACCCAGTAGAAAAGGGTTGGACAGCTTTTTTAAAATTATTCAGAAAGATTTTTTATTTGAATTGGATAATGGGATGTTAGTAAGTGAAGTCAAATGTTTCAAATAAACCAACTCAAACTCTAAAAAGAAAAAACCGATGATTAAACAAATTCTAAATATTTCCAGGAGGAGTTAAGTCCACGCTTGTCTGAACTCATTGAAAAAATCGAGTTCAATATCGATCCATTTGATTTGTCAGGAAATCCAAGTTTTAAAGACTAATTACATTATATGATTGTCAAAATCCTTCTCAGTCTCTCATTATGGAATTTTGAAAGTTTTGTAGAAGTTTTTCTTACTTTTATACCAACCATTGTTCATTCCTTAACTTAATCTTATCACAAATATTTTTTATTCATCATTATTTTTTATTTTGTTACATAAACCTGGATATTTTAGTTTTCTCCAGTGAAATAGAATCTCGAGTGCGGCGTTGTTGTGCGCGTGAACTAACCGGTTTATCTCCGTTAGTTCCACAGGACCGCATACCGATTATATCCTCATATAAATCCACTGGGTCGTCTTCACAGGTTAGTTTTACAAGTCCACTGGGTCGTCTTCACAGGTTAGTTTTACAAATCCACTGGGTCGTCTTCACAGGTTAGACAAGTCCACTTGGTCGTCTTCACAGGTTAGTTTTACAAGTCCACTTGGTAGTCTTCACAGGTTAGTTTTACAAGTCCACTGGGTCGTCTTCACAGATTAGTTTTACAAGTCCACTTGGTCTTCTTCACAGGTTAGTTTTACAAGTCCACTGGGTCGTCTTCACAGGTTAGTTTTACAAGTCCACTTGGTCGTCTTCACAGGTTAGTTTAAAAAGTCCACTGGGTTGTCTTCACAGATTAGTTTTACTACATATCTACTGGGTCGTCTTCGCAGGTTAATCCTACTGTATACCTACTAGCTCGCTTTCACAGGTTAGTCCTAGTACAAATCCATTGGGTCGCCTTCACAGGTTAGTCCTACTATATACCTACTTGGTCGCCTTCACAGATTAGTCCTAGTACAAAACCACTGGGTCGCCTTTACAGATTAGTTCTATTACAAATACACTGGGTCGCCTTCAAAGATTAGTCCTAGTACAAATCCACTGGGTCGCCTTCACAGGTTAGTCCTAGTACAAATCCACTGGGTCGTCCTCACAGGTTAGTCCTAGTACAAATCCATTGGGTCGTCTTCACAGGTTAGTCCTAGTACAAATCCACTGGGTCGTCTTCACATGGTAGTCGTAGTACAAATCCACTGGGTCGTCTTCACAGGTTAGTTTTACAAGTCCACTGGGTCGTCTTCACAGGTTAGTTTTACAAGTCCACTTGGTAGTCTTCACAGGTTAGTTTTACAAATCCACTTGGTCGTCTTCACAGGTTAGTTTTACAAGTCCACTTGGTAGTCTTCACAGGTTAGTTTTACAAGTCCACTGGGTCGTCTTCACAGGTTAGTTTTACAAGTCCACTTGTAGTCTTCACAGGTTAGTTTTTCAAATCCATTGGGTCGTCTTCACAGGTTAGTCCTACAATATACCTACTGGGTCGTCTTCACAGGTTAGTTTTACAAGTCCACTTGGTAGGCTTCACAGGTTAGTTTTGCAAGTCCACTGGGTCGTCTTCACAGGTTAGTTTTACAAGTCCACTTGGTCTTCTTCACAGGTTAGTTTAACAAGTCCACTTGGTCGTCTTCACAGCTTAGTTTTACAAGTCCACTGGGTCGTCTTCACAGGTTAGTTTTACAAGTCCATTGGGTCGTCTTCACAGGTTAGTTTTTCAAATCCACTGGGTCGTCTTTACAGGTTAGTCCTACAATATACCTACTGGGTCGTCTTCATAGGTTAGTCCTAGTACAAATCCACTGGGTCGTCTTCACAGGTTAGTCCTAGTACAAATCCAAGGAATTTTCTTTACAGGTTAGTTCTAATACAAATCCAAGGAATCTTCTTCACAGATTAGTTTTACTGCAAATTCATATTGATTCATATAAATATGTTGTATTAGTTCGGTAAACACCGAAGTTGCACTAAAACAGTTTATACAAAAACTTGGCATTATTATTTATGTATGTTTAAAATTGTCTGACACCAAGAAAAATCAGAGATGATTTGTCAGATTCTCTCATGCTTGTTGTGAGAATTTAGGTGTCTCGATTTTTCTTAATATTTTTTTTCTCTCGATTTTATTCAGATCGGAAAGAATTTTCGTTTTTATGCGATATGTAACAAAAAATACCTTAGTTTTTCATTTACCTTATTCGTTTGTATTTCAGGACGTATCCAATATAATGAACGTGAACCCTGCTCCGGGAGGAAGGTTTCATCTACTCCCTCTCTCCGCTCTAACCAAACACCAGGAGCTTCCTCGAACAGGCCGATCTGACCGGCCGACCAACTCTCTTGATGTAAAAAAGCCGACGGCAGCTCGCAAACGTGACCGGTCACCGGTAGCTGCAACTGCCGCTAGCTTTTTTGGATCAATGAGTTCTTCATGGTTCGGAGCCGCTAGTTGACATCTTTCAGTATATTCCTAAACCGCCATCTTTAAAATTCAGAATTTTTAACTTATTTAATATGTATATTGTTTACTTCTTTTCAAAACTACAATAAAGGAGTTTTGAACTATTATTTTGCTAGGTCTCCAGCGTGATTTTCACTGTGATAAACTTTATAAAATTAGATATTTATTTTATTACCTGCCATAGTTTACGAAGATTATAATATTTAGTCAACGCAATAATTGTTTTAAGGTGTTTTCAAATTCAAAAGAGTTATTTTACCTAAACACAATCCAACTAATCTATTTTAAAATTTGCATTGGTTTTTCTTCTCTTTACTCTTATTCCCTGTGTTTCAGACAAGATGACCATCGCAGCTATTGATACTCTCTCCAGATACGCGTCTCCGGTCAACCCAGGTAAACCCAATTGTCCTAGTGTCCAAACAAAATGGTTTTTGAGTTTGTTGGAATCATGTGTCTGGAGCTTTCTTTTTAGTTTCAAAACTACCGTCCCCTTCTCTTCTCTGCCTTTTTCTACCTTCCTCTACCTTCCCTGCCGTCCCAACCCTTCCTTACCCTATCCCTTACCTACCTTTCCTTCACTAACTTTCACTTTCCTAACTTTCCCCTTCCCTACCTTTCTCTTTCTCTTCCAGCCTTCCCTTTCCATACCTTTTCTCATCCTGTTGCTCCTTCCCTACCCTTTACTTCTTCCCATTTCCCTTCTCAATTTCTTTCCCCCCGTTCCTTTGGTTTTTCTACACCCCTGAATATACTTGACAGAAAAATTAGATCGACAAAAATAAGAACAGATAAAACGGTGATTTATCCAATAGTATTCTCATCCTCCCAGGGTGGGAAAGAAGAGGTTCAAGAGTTTCTGGTTTCTAGTTCAACGGATTTATACGCGAAGTGGTCGACAGATGTCTTAGAAGAATTCAGGAGGGTGGATAAAGTAAGACTCCCTGATCTGATTTGATTTGCTACTATATTGTTCAATAATTAATACCCTGTTATTGTTCTAGGAGTGTTTCCCCATCTGTGCCTTGTTCTCCTGGGTATTGGCCTTTTCTTTACAGCTTGGTTCTTCGTTTATGAGGTAACAATTTAATATTGGTTTTTAAATATAAATAGCAAATTAGTATCGTTTTGGCTTTCACAGGATTCGAAAAGTATTTTCCTTTGCAATCATAGAAGATATAAGAGGAATAAGTTAATAACGAACGCTCTTCTTTTTATAAACATTTTTTTTATTTGGTTGTATATGGTTTTAAATTGTCAGAAATTGTTTGAATACAAACTTTGCTAAGTGAAATAGCAATCTTTATTAAATTGTAAAATGGTATAATTTTTGTGGAGGTCCTTGAAAAAAATAGAAATAAGTTCACATATCTTGGTACCTTTATATTGCACTGCTTGTATAAGTTGTGTTTATTTAGAAATCGAATTAGATGCTTTTTGATTTTTTTTGTAATAAACTTAACACAATTTTCTTTCATGCGTTGTCCTATTATCACATTGGGTATCTTTTTCATGATCAATACTTATTTATTTATTTATTTATTTATATATTTTCCTGCATATTTTATATTTTCTTAATTTCATCTAAAAGATTTTTACTTTTGTTTAAAGGTGACCTCTACGAAGTTTACCCGTGAGTTGAAGAAGGAGTTGATGATCTCCACCGTAGCGTCCATCTTCATGGGGTTCGGGACCCTGTTCCTCCTCCTCTGGGTCGGGATCTTTATCTGATCCATCAGGCTCAACATCAATCTTGCATTTTATATTTGTCTCAATCTTTGTTTTCAATCCAACCCTGTTTGCAAGGATTGGTGATGTGATTCTTGAGTTTTAAAGTTTTGTTTTTAGTTTTGTCGTTTTTCAGAGATTTGAAATGGGAGATTTGAGCGGGAACCCGTTTTCTCAGCTGTTTCCGACAGCTGAGCTGGCAGTTGAGTACAGAAATATGATCCAGGACACAAGGACCTCTCGCCAGGAAACAAGCACATCTTACCAGGACACTTCTATTGAATCCAGGAATATATTAGATACGCCACCAGGTACAAAAGAATTCTATTTTATTTCATCCATCTATAATCTATATATACTGACTTCCATAAACATTGTTAAAAAATGTTTAAGTGCCAAATATTCGGTCTTATGAGGAAAACAATATATGTATACATACATGTTTAAAAATTGTTTAAGAAGAGCAATCTCTAAAAGTTATGCTAAGACACAAACAATTTTCAAGTTTCAAATCGTCCCAAATAATTATAACAAATGTTTAGAGAAGATGGATATTGATCCAGGAGCTACCCCTGAAGCTACTCCTGGTGCCCCTGGACAGGTTCAGGAGATAAACTCTAGTATTGAGGAGATCTTTCTCTTCACCCTGAACAAATACAGTGTTATTGGAGGACCGTTCTCTCAGCTCGTGTTCCTCAGTGGTCTAGCAGATGTTGTAGGTCATATTTATATTTTGCCAGATTTGCTGTTTCTAATGTTTAAAAATTCAAAAAAAAGAAAAAGAGAGATTTTGGTAGCGAGTGGGGGGGGGGGGTAGGCTTGTGGGATTTTATTTATTCTCAGTAATTCATTCTTATTTTAACGTTCACAGACGACAGAGTTCTGTTTTCTTTCTTCAAGGTTTTAAAAACGTAATTTCAAATGGACTTCTAAATAGAATCTTCGAATCACCAAAACCTGTGAATGATCTCTGAGATTTCTATGTTGTGATTATTTTCTTTTGTGGTTTTTCTTTTAAAGTGACCTGAGGATATTGGAAACTGTTACAATTAAATACTTTTCAAACTAGAATAACAACGATATCTTCCACATTATTCATTAGATAAAGGTTTAAAGGGAACCACTTCAAATCGGGCATGCTCCGCTTAAAATGGAGGGCATCTTAAAACTAAGTTTTGAATTTTTAAATAAATCTTGATTATTATTTTAGGTGTTCATAATAAATCCTGGATAGATATGGGAACTCTAGAGCAAGCTTTATTCGAAAGGAATAAAATACATTCCATCTATTGCATATCAATGGGCTCAGCATTCAGAAAATGAATTTCAATATTTGGGCTATTTGGACCTGTAACTGAAAGTATTTTGATTTGTAAGGTTAATGTTAGAGAATCCAGCTGAACACGTGGTTTCGTCAAATTCTTCTAAACAATCTTTTTCCTCTCATCTTACAGAGAAAAGGTTAGTTACCATCAGCTACTGAAAGGGAGAGATTAATTGAAAAATGAAAAGGGAATTATGGATTAACTATGTTTCGCGAACGTTCGCTCTAATCTTGACATGTTATAATTTCGATGAAAAATATGCTATATTATCTGTGTACTCTAGGTAAATATATATATTCTGTGTACTCTAGGTTGATATATTATCTGTGTACTCTAGGTTAATATATTATCTGTGTACTTTAGGTTAATATATTATCTGTGTACTCTAGGTGAATATATTATCTGTGTACTCTAGGTTAATATATTTTCTGTGTACTCTAGGTTAATATATTACTTGTTTACTCTAGCTAGGTTGATATATTATCTGTGTACTCTAGCTAGGTTGACATATTATCTGTGTACTATAGGTTAATATATTACCTGTGTACTCTAGGTTAATATATTATCTGTGTACTCTAGATTGATATATTATCTGTGTACTATAGGTTAATATATTACCTGTGTACTCTAGATTGATATATTATCTGTGTACTCTAGGTTAATATATTATCTGTGTACTCTAGATTGATATATTATCTGTGTACTATAGGTTAATATATTACCTGTGTACTCTAGGCTGATATATTATCTGTGTACTCTAGATTGATATAGTCGCTGTACTCTAGGTTAATATATTATCTGGTTGAATGCTATGAACGATGTACTACTCTACGAAGAAGAGAATCTAAAACTACTATAGAGCTGGGCTCCAGTATCTCCAGCATGCAGGAGCTGATCATCAGGAACCTGGTGACAGCGTTCAGGGAACCTGATCTATACTTCGGGCAGGACCTTGAGAACCAGCTCATCGAGATAATCTGCTCCAGCTACGAGGTTCAGGATACACTACAGAATATCATTAATATGTTTGCAATTAAAATGAAGGTAGGCACATTTTAATTTTACGATGGTTATATTTTTACCAATCAAAATGAAAATACAGAAAAATTATATTTTTTCAAAACTATTTTTTTCTTTACTAAAATATAGATTTATCAGTACTTTGAATATCAATTTCTCAAAGGAACTTAAAAATGTGATTTTAAGTGACCCTCCATTGATTGAGTGGCATGTACGATACACAACGGTACCCTCAAAAGCTTAGTCTGATCAATTATGAATTAGATAGATCCATCTTTTTGTTTTTGAATAAAAAAAACATTTTTTGTTTCACTACTGCAAAGTGACTAGGGATTTTTTTCTTCAGAAACTATGGAGAAATTATCATAATGTAACACTTTTCAATCTAGAAAAATGACGTTATCTTTTGCATTATTATTCAGATTAGGGTTTCAAGAGAACTGTTGGGAATCGGAAATCTTTAAGAAGAGAGTCAAAGAGAAATATTAAAACAGTCCCTGTACTTGAAATATTAAAACAGTCCCTGTACTTGAAATATTAAAACAGTACCTGTACTTGAAATATTAAAACAGTCCCTGTACTTGAAATATTAAAACACCAATGTGACTGAGCCAAACAGGATGCACAACAAATACTAATTAGGGGGTTCGTTAGCATTGTTCTCAAATAAGGTGTTTAATTTTTTCAAGTTAGAAACCCTGGTTCAAAATAATCAACGCGTGAGTAGCGTGATGGTGTTCTGTTCACTGCACAACTCTGCGTTTCATGTTCAATGGATGATTTAAAATCATAATTTAAGTCTATACAACCGTCTTCCTATTGCACAGACCCTTGGGTCTTATTGTAAAAATATATTGACAAGTGTTCACTCCAGTATTTTTTTATTCTTATTATTTTATAATGCAATAGGAGTAGGAGCATACTGATAAACTAGAGAAGATAGTATCCAGTATACTCAACCATGTCAAACAGAAGATTGAGAATACTTCAATGATAATATTCTCCACACATACTATTGTTCCTCTTCTATACTTTATCAAGGTAATGGATCCAGAGCTGGGAACTGGTTTATTGAGTTCAGCTCATTCTCTTTTTACAGGGAGGTTAGCCGATTCCTCAGTGGTCAAATTTAGGATTTTATTTGAGAGAGTTTGGTTAATCTCCATGTAAAGAGAGAACGAATTAAACTTATTCCTCTCATTTAAAAGTTTCAAGCTTGGTTTATTTAAATGGAACTAAACTCATTTTCTTCTTGCAAGGATCTCTCAATGGTCAAATTTCATATTTTATATGTTAGAGATGTTTTAATCTCAACTGGAAGAATTGATGAGTTTAACAATTTTGAGAAGATTTAAAAAAAAAAATTACAAAAAATCCGGGGGAAAAGCTGTAGTATAGAAACAAGGGACGTAAACCTCACATTCTGTATAATGAAGTGAAATTTAATCTCTGTGTTACCTGAGATGAAAACTTTAGAATGGTGGATATCGGGATTAATGCTTAATCCACTCTTTTTCTTAATCTCGAGATTAAATATTGCTTGTTCTCGTCTCATTTTTAATCTCCAGATTAATTATCCGATCAGGATTAAGGATATCCCATTCTAAAGTTTTCAGCTCTGATTTGATTTGAATGGGAAATTGATCTTAAAATGTTAAGGATCCTGTTCTAGCAAAGATGTTTATCCTACATAGTTTCCCTAAGCAGTTGTCCAGTGGTAGAGCATACGAGGAAACCTTGTTAGGTCGGATATTTGGCAAATCATGTCTTCCAGCCTCAGATATAGGTACAATCATGTCTTCCAGTCTCAGATATAGGTACAATCATGTCTTCCAGCCTCAGATATAGGTACAATCCCTTGGAAATATAGATTAAATTACCAACAGGGGGGTATATTCTTTTTTAGAGTTAGTTCACCCCGCTGGTACAATTAGGTTGATTTCTCATCCATGTTCGGTCAAATTCAAATTCCTCGCCCACCCCTCTGATAACGAAGATGATGGGGAATGGGGATATCTTAGCAATCCACTCAGTCCGGTACAAAGGATTATTGTGAGGAATGATTACCTTTGAGCATTTGTATTACATTTTCATTCTACTGTGACGTATTCGGACAGCTTTAGAACTTCTCTTATTGTAAACAAACAACATTAGTTAATGGTTGATTAGGTCTAGTCTTTTTTTTTTGTTGAAAATAAAAACTATTTCCTTGACTGTTTACTGTTTTACTTCGTTACAGTAAATTTTAAATAACAACAAGTCAATATTTATTATTTTATGTTTTTGAAATGAACATCACATAAAAACGATTAGTAATAGTAACTGTGCAGTGTGCAGTTTTTGTTCTTGATCTGTAAAAGGATATTGTATTTATAACATAGAAAATGTTCTTATTTAATTCTTATGAAATCCACTGGTAAAAATTACACCTTTGGGTTTTCGTTCATCAAAATTTATTTTTTAAGTTATTTTATAAGAAAAATATTTGCTATATACACATTTTTATAGTATTCTTCATAAGTTTTCAAATGATACAATCTTTATATAGTATCTGTTTTGTCCCGTAAGACCTAATGTTAAACGATGCACGAAGAGGACACGCAGGGACATCCTATAGTTTTGTACCGGGTTCGTAGTCAGAATATTTATCGATGCAAATTCGTTTACTGAAATGGTGAAATAATACAGAGGCTGACATATTCAAATACAGCATCAGGCACTGAAATCCTACATAGGAAAGAGAGGTCGTTCACACTGTACATACCAATCAAATCAAATCAAATCATATCAAATATTTATTGCACGAAGATTAAAATTAATACAATATAAATATCACATAGAAAGTATAATCCTCGTGAGGGAAAATTAATCTGGGGGGCCAGGTTTTCATAATTTTCCTTATAGCCTAGTGACAGGGGGGGGACA